TGGAAGCTTTAGAAAGGCCTTAAGTGCATGACTGTGAATGTGAATGGACTGTGTACTGGTGTGAAGAGGGAATGCTTTCGTATGCTCTTACGTCGATACAGAGTGGACGTAGTCTTTCTACAGGAGCATAATTTCAGGGAGGGTAGAGTGCTCGAGGTGGAAGGGAAATAAGGTGTTGACTCTGCCATCGGCACGTTTGAAAGGTGGTGTTGGTTTATTGATAAAGGGAGGCGAGCCCGTTTGTGTTGCAAAGACGTGAAGGGGGGGGGGGGGGAGGGTTTTTGCGTGTGGATGGTGGTGGATGGGGCAGAGGGTAACCTTTGTAAGTGTGTATGCACCAGCTGAAAATGATATGAAAGTAAAGAGGGATTTTTGTGGTGATGATCTAGTTTTTGCTTTCCGTGGTTTACCTGAAGTGGCCATCGTAGGTGGGGACTGGAATTGTGTGATCAGGAGAGCGGATGTGGAACCACGAGGGGCGGGGCATATGTTGACAGCATTACGCAATCTTTTGGTGGACGTTCAGTTGAGGGATGTGGTAGGTGGCGGAGCGTGGGAGGTGGAGCATACTTTCGTGAGGCGAGGTTACGCAGCTAGGTTAGACAGGTTGTATATATCTCATAAGGTATTGTCAAAGTCTGTCCATACAATATTGAACTAGCTTTTTCAGATCATAGGGCGGTTGTCGCAGAAGTAGAGCGGGATTCTCTAGCTAGTATCTCTAGGGGATATTGGAAATTAAATACGAGTCTGTTGGAAGATGAGGAGGGGTTGGGGGGTTTTACGGAGCTGTGGGAGAGATTAACTGAGGAGGTACAAGGTGTGGAGGACGTGGTGGGATGGTGTGGCTAAGGACCGGATTCGGCATTATTATGTGAGGGAGGGGAAAAGGATTAATTCTTTAAAATTTGGGTTGATTAATTATTTGGAGGACAGGTTACGGGGTTGTATGTAAAAGGACAGTAGAGGGTGTCTATCCGATGGACAACATTATGATACTTAAAGAGCGGTTGCGGGAAATTCAGGACGAGCGGGTTCCAAGCGGTGAGAGTAATGGCGGGGGTGGAGGAGGTGTTATGGGGAGATAGGCCGTCCTCGTGTGTGTTGCGCAGACAAAAACAACGTCAGCAGGCAACAGCTATTCCATGTTTGGAGGTTCTTGAGTCGTGGGAGGGTATAGGGCGGGTCAGGTTATCCACACTACGGATGGGATGGGGTTGTTTGCGGATAAGTGGTACGAAAAGTATTGGCGGGAGGAAGGGGTAGGATTAGGGGATTTAGAGAGGGTGTGTGGAAGTGTGCCATGTAGGTTAGGACACAGTGATAGGGAAGCTTTGGGGGGGGACATAACTGAGGGGGAAATATGGAGAGCTTTGAGTGCCATGCGAAAGGGCAAAGCTTCGCTTCTTCGCTTCTAATGACCAGAGCTTTGGTAAGATGGGGAAGGAAGAAGGATGGGTAAGGATGGAAATATTGGAAGAGGGTTGGAGGGGGGGGGAGAGGTAGGATATAAAAGGTAAGTGGCCCAACCACTTTAGTGTAATTTAAAAAGTGTATTTGAATTGATAAGATTATTTTTTAAGAGGTATAATACTAACCCATCAGAGTCACATAAATATAATAGGTATATAAGTACATGAATCTGAATTGGTTGTAATTATACAAGTTGCAATTGTTTTTTTTTTTTTTTTTTTTTTTTTTTTTTTTTTTTTTTTTTTTTTTTTTTTTTTTTTTTCGCGATTGCACAACGGTTATTCATACACGGGAAAAGGCAATTTTTTGGCCATTTATGAGCTCGTGACAATACTTTTTAAATGGGTTTTCCAAAAATAGTCAATAGCAAATTTTACTTAAAAGTATTTAAGAGTCCCCAAATTTGGGGGCGAGGGTTTTTTCGTATACAAAGAAGGGTTTGGTGACCCCAATCTTTTTCGTCAGGTAAGTTCCAAAATCATGGGTCGGGGAAATTTTCTTATAAATAAAACACGAACCCTCTGTGGGAGAGTCATTCTTTGAGTCCGTGAGGGGGATTTTGAGGGTGTAATGGGTGGTATTTATCACTTGTATGGGTTTCCATCGGCATGTAAAGTTCTTGCTTTGAAAAATAAAGTTTTCTTTTTTAGGTGTCAAGGCTCATTTAGGCTGTATCTTGTTGTGTGTTAAATCTGCCATTTTATCTTCTCCCCTCCTGGTATTGGAAATAAATCAAGAGCTCTATCTGGCCCCTTTTTAAAACCGTACATTTGGTCTTTTTTTAATGATTTGGGGACACAAGGTATTAAAGTATGGGTCTTATTTTCATTTTAACAGTTTTTTTTTTTTGACTTTTTAGGGCTTGTTTGGGAATCGAAAGAGTCTGCAAAGCCGGTTTTGGTGTGTTGATCTTTTAGTTACTGAGATGTTGAGTGGAGCAGCCTGTCTATTTCATACCCAAGATCAAAGCACCGGGAACGTGGACTGCCGGAGTTTTATAAACCGCAGGGGGAGTTAAAAAAAAGGTTTTTTGGTGAGGTTACTAAACTTAAAGAAGGTAAGGGGAAGGTTGGTGAAAGACGGGCAACAGCTTATTGTTTTGGACCAAAGGGAAGGAACAGCGTTCGCTCGGGGACAAATAGAACAATATGTTGTTTCGCGGTTTTATAGTTTTTTGCAAAAATTTTTTAGGAATAGGAAAAGTGTGTTGTAGGAGGGTTGTACAAAACCAAGTTTGGTTTTCCCCGTAGGGTCTATGGGGGTGGGACAGGTCTTTTAAGGGGATTTCGGGGAAGAAAAAGGGGGGGGAAGGGGGGGGGGGGTTTGGGTTTTTCACTAGACGGGGAAAGGACTTAGATGGTGGAGCGAGGGGCCGTTAGGTATCCTTAGGAACAGGGCTAGGGGAAAAAATGTGGGGGGGGTAGGGCGTTATATAGGGGAAATGGAGAGTCAGATTAATGGAAGTTTTGGGGGGAGGTTGTAATGGCAGAGGTTTTAAAAGGGGGTGCCCTATTCACAGCTTTTATTTGCATGCAATATATTAGAGGGGTTTTTAAATTTTTGGGGGGTTTCGGGGTTGTTTTGGCTTAGAAGGGATGTATAATGTTACCTGTGCGCAGGGGGGTGGGTTTAAGAACTTAAAGAGGGGGGGCAAAGTATCTTCATTAAAAGGGAGGTGATGAGGGGGTGTGAGTGAGGGGGGTTGGGTTAAGGTACACAATAATTGAAATCTTTTTTCTGGGACGGGTTGGGGGAGTGTGAAATATTTTAGGGCAGGGGTGAGGTTTTGGGTTCGGGAAAGGGAAAAAAAATAAGGGGCGTGTAGGATGTCAGGGGAAAGGTTGTGGCTCCGGGGGAGGGGTTTTTCCAAAAAGGTATGACGGGGGATGTAAGGAAAAGGGTTTGGGTAGGTTAAGGTTAAAAAACCCCCCGTGGACGTGGGGTGATGTATCTTTTTTTGAGGGGATTTTCCATCGGGAGTGGTTTACGAGCTAGAGGGGGTGTTGGGGGGGGGGGGTATGGGGAAAATATATGGGGGGGAATTCTGCATTCCTGTAGTGTTTTTTGGGGGGGTTGGGAGCGCGGGGTTGTTTGGCAGGGTGTTGCATAAGATAAGTGGTCAAAACTTCTCTCTTCTGCGGGCATTTATCTTTATGTGGGGGGGGGTGGATGAAAGTATTATTAGGGGGTGTGGGGTACATTATGGTAGTTATTTTCATTTGTGGGGAAGAGGGGAAAGGGGAAGTAGGTGAAGAGGAGGGGATTGGTGTTACGTTTTATAAAACTTGTGCCCTAATAGAGAAAATTTTTGGGAGGAGGTGGGGGCGGGGGTTTTTGAGGGATTGAGACCTTACATTAGGGTTTTATAAAATTGTAAATTGGTGGTGGGGTGGGTAGGGAGGTACAATGTGTTATTTGATGGGGGCAGGGGGGGAAACGGGGTCGCCCCTGGTATGTAGCGGGGGAATGGTATGAACTTGGCGTATATGTGTATTTATGGGTTTTACGAGTATACTCAAAAATGTTTTTGATTTTGGCAGTGGAATTGTTTTATGGTATTCATATGCAGTTTTTGGTGTATGGGGTTTGGGCCTTGTTTTTTAAAATATTTTTGTGTTTGTGAAAAAATTGTTTTTTACCTATTTTCAATAATTACGTTTAATTTTATTTAACGTAAAGGTGCCACTTTTTCATTTACAAAGTGACAATATATGCAATTAGGTGTGTTTTATTAAAATTAAAAACAATGCAATTGGGAAATTTGTCGTTTTTTGGTTACATAGGGGGAGGGGGTTTTTTGTATGGGTGAGGGGGGTTTTTTTGGTTATTCAAGTTCATGTTTGTGTGGTTGTTAATGATTTATTCTTGTAAGACCCCGTTTTTGTCTTTACATCTCTTGTTTTTGTATTTCTAAATAAAATAAAAAAAAAAATCAGTGTGATCACCGATAATCAATTTTAAAAGCAGCTATATGCACGATGAACCCATCGAAAACCGCCAAAACCCTCTAGGGTAGGGTAGGTGCCTGAGCCCGAGCCTTTAGCTCATAAGACTTCATTTCCCCTTTAGCCCCCTTGGGGGGGGATGGGGAGACCCGAAGGCTAGCTTGTGGGAGGCCTGGGGGCAGTTGGGCCCAAAGATGAGAGGGACTTTTGCCCCCTCCCGGGAGATTAGGGCCCCGACACTCCCAAAGAGGGGGCCAAAGGGCCGGGGCCCCCCACGGAAAGGCCCGGGGCCGGGGGGAAAAACCGGGTAATCTTTACCTAACCTAACCACGATAAAATTTAAAACAAGAAAGTAATTTCACTGCACTGTGCGAGGAAACGTGGGGGAATACACAAGAAAATTTGCTTTAAAATCCATTTTTCTTAAATATTTGAAAATTAAATTTTTAATGAATATTTACTATAAAAAGTAAGTTAAAATTTAAAATTTATAATTTTTTAAAAAAACATTTAAAAAATTTACTAAATATTTCTGAAAACATAGTTTGTTTTTATTGTAGGGGTTTCAGAAGGTCGAAAACCAAAATTTCCTGGGAAGGGGATACCGGATCACGAAAGCGGTTTTTTCCCGGGGGAGGCCCCCACCATTTCACCCGGGGGTGCTTTACCCCGGATTAACCCAAAAAGTGGTTAAACCCTGCGAAATTTTTTGTTAGCGGGGGCTGCGTTCGCGCTATCCCCCCTTTAAAAATTCCAATTTCAAAAATTTTTGAGGGATGATGAACAAAGGGAATGTTTTCAATTTGGGTTTTTATTTTCCCTTTTTCGCAGTTTTTTTTTATATAGAGAAAACAACCCAAAAAGGGAAATGCACTATCGACTATGACATTTTTTTTTTTTTATTTTATAAAAGACAATACAATACATTTTTAAAAAAAAAAAGAAAACAGAACGAATCTTCCACAAAATTACAAGTTTTCTTGTCGAAAAACCCAGAACTTGAAAAGTTTAAATTAACTTTACGACCCAGGGCGGGGAAAATTTTAGGGATTAGGAGAAAATTCTCCCCACAATAACAGCGCAATTTTAACAATAACATTATCAGTTGGTAAAGAATGGAGAATGAAAACTTGGGTGATTAAACCACTACCTTCCATCGATACTTCAACTCTTAAAGATACCCACCCGCTTACTAGACCTATTACATTACTAGAGATGAGTCAGGTTATTGGAAGAATGCGTAATAGAGCCCCTGGCCTCTCTGGAATAACAATGAAACAAATAAAGTTCCTTCCCAGAAATTGTAAACAGTCTTTGGTAAATATCTTTAATGCCATCTTGGCCTCAGGACATTTTCCAGTGGTTTTTAAGACTGCTAGGATGATCTTTCTAGGTAAGCCCAATAAAGACATTCACCAACCTGGGAACTATAGACCTATATCTTTACTTGAAGTCACTGGAAAAATTCTTGAGGTCATTTCCAACAGATTGAACTACTATATGGAGTTTAATCACTTTTTTACTGAAAAACAATTTGGCTTTAGAACACATAGAGGTACCAATCATGCAATAATGTTATTTTTGATACTGTAGCAAGTCAAAAACATCAGGGGAATCTTGCTTAATTGCCACCAGAGATGTTCATAAAGCTTTTGATAGCTTATGGCATGATGGCCTTATATACAACTCATTGACCTACAGACCATAACTGGACTTTCCTCAGAGTAATTTATAATTTCTTAACTCAAAGAAAAATCATTCCCACCTTTCATGGCAGGTCGACAGAGCCTTTTATACCGACGGCTGGTGTCCCACGAGGTTCTTGTCTCAGTCCACTTCTGTTCAACATTTATGTGAATGACCTTCCTCAACCAGAGTTTGGTGATACGATTGTGACACAGTTTGCAGATGATGTTATTCATGTCGTCTCATCAGCTACGGTAACAGGAAAATACAAGTATGAGAGAGTCATAGAAAAAATGAATATTGAACTTCGTCGAACATCTAATTGAGAAAAGAAGTGGAGAATTACGACTAATCCTGACAAGGTCCTTGTTAGCACGATAGGATGTTTTGCATCAACAATTGAAGATAAAGGAGGTATCTCCATCAGAGGTACACCTGTAGCCATTAGAAACCCTAACAAGATTTTGGGATACGAAATAGGCTGCTCCACTCAACATCTCATGTAACTAAAAAGATCAAACATAGCCAAAGCCGGTCTTAGCAGTCTCTTTCGATTCAATCAAGCCCCTCAACATGTCAAAAAACATCTGTACAAAATGTTAATAAGACCTGTACTCGAATACCCTTGTGTCCCAATGTCATTAACAACAAAGACCAACATGCTACGGTTACAAAGGGTCCAGAATAGAGCTCTTCGCTTTATTACCGATACCAGGAGGAGAGACAGAGTTAAAATGGCAGATTTACACATACAAGATATTCCTGCCATAAATGTACGCCTTGACACCCTAAAAAAGAAACAACTCTATACAATGCAAGAACTATACATGCCAGATAGAGAACATCCTATACAAGTGGTAAATACCACGGATTATACCATCAATACTCCTCCTCACAGGACTCAAAGAATGACTCTCCCACAGAGGGTCCGTCGTTTTATACATAAAGATGATTACCCTCGACCCATGATATTGAGCAACCTCCCTGATGAAGAAGATTGGGTAACACCAGAACCCTTCTATGTATACTGGAACATCATCGCCCCCAATTAGGGAGACATCTTATATAAAAATCTAATGTAAAAATTATGCATTTAATATGGCTGGACACCACCTGTAAGAAGCCATTGCCCACGGAATTCTATAAACTGGCCAGAAAATTATTGCCTTCATTGTCGCATAAATATCCGTTGTGCAATCGCAAAAAAAAAAAAAAAAATTGCAACTTGTATAATTACTACCAATTCAGAGTCATGTACTTATATTCTGTTATATCTATGTGACTCTGATGGGTTAGTCTTATACCTCTTAAAGAATATCTTATCATTTCACGTACACTTTTTAAATTACACCAAAGTTGTTGGGCCACTTACCTTTTATATCCTACCTCTCTCCCCTCTCCCACCCTTTTCCAAAATTTCTATCCTTACCCATCCTTCTTCCTTACCCATCTCACCAAAGCTCTGGTCTGGATACCGAATACCGAATACCTTAAGTTATGATTACTTTGTTTGGGATAAATAATCCTTTGTCGTCACTAGTTTCGATTTTTTTCCTTTTTCGTTGATTAGTATATTAATGTAATAATGTGACTTATTGCCCTCGGGAGTCCTGTGATATATACTTTAGAAATGTACTCATCAAGGGAGATATCTGGGGTTTAATAGGTGGACCTAAGGACCCTAACAGAAGTACACAAGTATTTTTGTCTGGGGTTATCTAAGCAAGCTACACATGTGTACCTGTATCTGAATAAACTTACATTAAATTTTAGTGTACATATATTTCCTTAATAGCATATGCCAGAAACATTAGCATAATCAGCGGCTTTCCAGTTAGATTATATTCCATACCAATGAAAATAAGTCACCTGGCTTAACTATTGGGATATCTTAGGTTAAACGTAATAAGGTACAAGAGCCCGTAACACCTATATACCACCAGCAAGATCACTATAGAAATTTAAGCATAAATTATGAATGAAGTGTAAAAATAATATCCCATCACTATCATAAACTTCCTTACCGGACTTCCTGGTGGAACTCCACATTAATCAGACAACCATTCGCTGCCTGACCACGGTAGAGTGCGGTTGTGCTCTGCACCCCTCTGCTGTTTTCAGGCGAGCTACCTTGTACCAACATGGCGCTGAGTGTGAGGAGGTGCGTAAATACCATTGGTATTGAGCTGCTTCGTGGGGCGATTTCACCCTCTTCAGCGCAGGTATTACTCCCAGCAATCATTAGGGAGACCTATGGTATCCAGGACGATGAGGTGTATGGTGTTGCCCTGAATGGGGCTTACAGAATCTTCGTCAAACTGAATTCCACGTCCGTGTACGAGTCTTTGGTGACGAGATTCCAAGACGTGAGTCTTGACGCTACTACAGCTGTGAAGGTGCGTTTGATCGACGTATCTCGCCACTTTACATGGGTTAAGATTCGTAATGTCCCATTTGAGGCAGATGAGGCTGACATCAGGAGTGTTTTTGAGGCATATGGGACCGTACATCTGGCACAACAGGGCAAGTGGATGGCAGGTGCTTACATGGGCCGTCTGGAGGGAACCTTTTCCCTGAAGATGACTCTGAGACATCCCATACCATCTTACGTCGTGTTGGAGGACTTCAGGACGCAAGTTATGGTATTGTACGCCGGACAGAGACGTACGTGCAGAATATGTGGGGCGTACGACCATATGGCGGCAGCGTGTGTGAAGTGAGAAGGGCGCCTGCACAAACTGGTGAAGCACCAGTTACCAGCATAGTAGCTGTTGTTGAGAGCCCCACGCGAAAGCAAGGGCTTGGGCGCTTGTGGAGTGAAGAGGTGGAGGACTCCAAAGAGGAGACTGGCGTGTGTGAGGTAAGCTGTGACGTAAAAGGATCTGTTACTAGGCAAGGGAAAAGTACAGAAGTGCAAGTGCAGGAGGAGGTGCAGGCTCTAGAGGAAGAGCTTCAGGAAGTGTTGAGGACATTGACGCCGCCTGCAGAGGATGTTGTTCATGAGCTGGTGAGAGGCACGGCGTTGCCTGTAGAGGAATGTAATGATGAAAACCATAGCAGGGTTGATGAGCCAACTAGTAAGCGTGAGTGGTCGCCGTGTGTTGTGGAACGAGGCGTGGTGGAGGTTGAGGTACATTGTGAGGGAACCTCAGAAGATAACATGGATGTGGAGGGCATCACGAGGAAGAGAGCGGCGGCGTCAGACTCAGATGATGTCCTGACGCCGGCGCAGAGGTCTGGGAGGAAGGAAGAGCACTGTCGAGGTAGTCATGATAAGAGGCATCGCAAAAAAAGGGGGGGGGTTTGATGGTGTGAAGCCTTGTGCTGGTTCTGGGTCAGGAGGCCCTGGGATGAATGAAGAGAGGAGGAAGGGTTGGAAACTATAAAGAGGCCTTAGGGGTATGACTGTGAACGTAAATGGACTGTGTAATAGTGTGAAGAGGGACTGGTTTCGAATGTTTCTGTATAAATATAGGGTGGATGTAGTGTTCCTGCAAGAACACAATTTCAAGGAGGGAAGAGAGCTCGAGGTGGAGGGGTTTCAGGTCATGACTCGGCCATCTGCACATCTGAAAGGTGGTGTGGGTATATTGATCAGGGAGGCGAGCCCGTTTGTGTCGCTAAGAAGTGAGGGGGAGGGGGGGAGTATTGGGCGTGGATGGGTGGTGGATGGGGCAGAGGGTATCCTTTGTAAGTGTGTATGCACCAGCAGAAAATGATGTGAGAGTAAAAAGGGATTTTGTATGTGAAGAACTAATTTTCTTCTTACGTGGTTTACCTGCAGTGGCCATCGTTGGTGGGGACTGGAACTGCGTTATTAGGAGGGCTGACGTGGTAATGAACTCACAATTTACAAAGGAGTTCATTACCTTTGTAAATTGTGAGTTCATTACCTCTGTAACTTGCTCAGCTATCAAAACTTTGGAGTCCAGTCCCTGGACCAATTATGTACCTCTGTAATCTTTTGACTACCGCACACAGGATGGGTATGGGGTGCATAATAAACATATTAAACTAACTGACGTGGAACCAAAAGGGGCGGGGCACGTGTCGGCGGCCTTGCGATATCTTTTGAGGGATATTCAGTTGTGGGATGCGGTTGGAGGAGGGGTGTGGGAGGTAGAGCACACTTTTGTAAGAAGAGGTTACGCGGCTAGGTTGGACAGGCTGTATATATCTCGAGGGGTTTGGTTGACATTTTTCCGTACAATAGAAGTAGCTTATTGGATCATGGGGCGGTAGTAGGAGGTGGGGTAGAGTCACTAGAGGTACATCTGGGGAATTTTGGAATTTAAAACAATGTGTTAGGCGTGAGGAGGGGATAGAGGGATTTGCAACGTTGTGGAGGGGTTACGTGCAGGGGTAAAGGGGGAGAGGTTGGGGGGAGGGTGGCTAAAGAAGGGATTAAGCAATTTTAGAAAAGGAAAGGGGAAAAAAATTCAATTTTTAAAAAATTGGGCTGGTCAACTATTTGGAGGATAGGTTAGGGGTTTTTTATGGGGGGGGCGGTGGCGGGCCTTATCCAAGGGTGAGATTATGGAATAAAGGGAGGCTGGGAGGTACGGATAGGGGTTCCCCAAGCGGTCGGGACAGGCGGGGGTTGAAAGGGGTTATGGGGCGATAGCCTTTCCCACGTGCGTTTTGCGTAGGCAGAAACAAAGACAGCTGCAATGACTATTCCAGGGTTGGGGGTTCATGATCGATAGGAGGGTACAGGGAGGGGCAGGTCTTTAAAAGCACGGAAGGAATGGGGGGTTTGCTGATAAGGGGATGAAAGTTGGCAACGAGAAGGGGTAGAGGATGGGGTTTTAAAACAGTGGGGGAATGTGGTATGTCAGTTGCGTAACAGTGTAGGGAAGCATGGGTGGGGAAATAACTGGGGGGAAAAATACGGGGCTTTAAGTGGAATGGAAAGGGCAAAGCCCCGGGAAATATGGATCCCGGCAGAGTTTTATCAGCCTTTGGGGAATTAAAAAGGCTTTTTTTTTGGTTAGGTTTTTAAAATTGCATGAAGGAGGAGGTGAGCTGGGTGAGAAGAGGCATGGCTGCGTTGTTTTGGGTAAAAGGGTAAGGGGCAGCTACGTTTCGGATTCCCCGGGCGTTTCCGTTATGCAAAGATTCAAATTGTTTTAAAGATTTTGGGAAAAATGGGGTCAAGTGTGGGGTGGGGCGGGTATTTTGGGTTTGCCGGGGAGGTCTATGGTGGGGGAGGGGTTACTTGGGATTTCTAAAGGAAAAAGGGGGGAGGGGGGAGGTTTGGTGGCGCTCGATTGGAAAGGGGCATACAAGGGGGACGGAAAGCAAAAAAACCACCCCTCAGGGGTCGGGGGGTTTGGGGAAGAAAATAGGGGGTTGGGTTTGGCTTTGTATGGGGGTGAAGGGCAAGGGTCGATTAAGGGTCGATTGGGTGGGAGATTGTAATGGGTAGGGGACTTGGGCAGGGGTTGCCCTTGTAAATTTAAGTTTGCGTGCGTACAGGCCCCATTTATAGATTGGTGGAGCAGGTTTTGTCACGAGGGGGACCAGGGTGTGGGTTGCGGGGGTTTTGGCAGTTTTAATTGGGATGTGGATGATCAACTGTTTGTCAGGGGGGGGATGAAATGGACACATTAGATGGGGTAGTACAAAGTTTTAAGGGGGGAACTGGAGAGGTAAAATTTAGATAAATCCATGGTTATGGGGGTTGGAGATTGGGCGGGGAGGGTTGATTGGGGTAGGCATTTTGAGGAGGCGGGGAATTTGTTTAAAAATTTGCGCTTATTTAGCAGACGATTTAATGTGGCACGCATGGAAAAATCGTTAGGTGGAGAAAAAGGATTCAGGGTGCTTGGGTGATTTCGACCTTTCTTTTTACCCTTGTGCAGCGGCCCTTGTTATTTACTTTTTGTACAGCAAAATATCCGGGGCGCCCGGTTCCCATTAACGGGCCAGCAATAACGACATCTTGGAAGGTTTTTTAAAATTCTTGTGGGGTTCGAGCTGTGATTTTGGGTTAAAAGAACGTGGTAATGACCTGTAAAAGGGGGGGGGTGGGGTTGTGGCTTAAAGCGGGGGTCAAATGTATCTTTATTAAAAGGGGGGTGATAGGGAAAGTGTGGGTGGGGGGGGGGGGTTTTTGGGGAGGACCATAACAGATTGCAAAGGGGTATACAGGAGTTTAGTTTTCAAGAGTGTTTACCGAGTTTACCCGGGGAGTTCCGGGGGGGAACGCCCCCCCCGGCCCGGTCGGGACCAGGCCTCCTGGTGGTCGAGCTGAGGGCTATGGATGGGGGTCGAGAGCCCGGGAAAAGGGCAAAATAGGGGGTTGTGTAGATTTTTGGGGAGGGTTGTGCGCCCTTTGAGGGGAATTTTCTCCCGACATGGGGGGGTATATGGAATGGTTGGTAGGTGAGGTTCAACCTCGTGTTCGGGGTGTTTTTGCACCAAAATTTTTCCGTGGGTGTGGTTTTTTTGGAAAAGTTCTCGTTTTCTGGGGGGGGGTGCGGATTGTGGTGGGGAGGATCGCCCTTTTTATGTAGTATATTTTTGTAGGTGAGGTGTCAAGGGGTGGTTAAAAAGTGTGATATACAGGATAGGAGGCAAGGATTTTCTGTATTGAAGCATTAAGTCCGAGTGGGGGGGTTGGGGGGAAGTGTAATCAAGTGTGGGGTACATTAAGGCATTTTTTATATATATAGTGTGGGGGTTGCGGGGGAAAAAGGTTCGTGAGGTGAAGAGGAGGGTGTTAGCGGTAACGTTCTATAAAACTATGTAGAAATAAGGAAAATTATGGGAGTGGGCGAGAGATTTTTCAGAGGGGTTAGGGAACTTACGTTTCAGGTTTATTAACTTTTAATTCAAGGGAGGGGAGGGTAGATTTGGGAAAATGTTGTGGGGGAGGGAAGTCTGGGTTTAAAACAGGGTGCCCCTGGAATGGATGACAAAAAATGTTTGCATGTGTGTTTGGATAGGATGCGTGAGTGAATAAAGTATGGCCAGGGTGCTAGACCTGGAGAGTTTACCCGGAAGAGTTTCGGGGGTCAACGCCCCCCGCGGCCCGGTCTGTGACCAGGGTCCTGGGGGATCAGAGCCTGATCAAAACCGGCGTTGCTGCTGGCTGCAGCAAAACAAGTACGAGCCCAGCCGGGGTGATCCGGAATGACTTTAGGGGGTTGTCCCAGTCCCAGCTTAAAAGACTCCCTGACTGCTTTTAAATTAATTTCCCCCTTGTATTGCAATATTTAAAAAAAAATTATAAAAAAAAATTTTTGGGGGCCCCACATGGACGAAAGGTCAATCATAATAACGTTTGGTTGGTAAAAAGACATTCACAACTGTACATTTCAAAAGTCTCAACTTTAACAATTTTTTTAAGCCCTTGAACGGGTAAAAAAAAATTCCCTTTAGCCCCGATATTTCCGTCGAAGGCGGGGTATTGGGAAAAGTTTTCAAATAGCAATAATCGCACCTCGGATAAACTATTGGTTACGTAATGCCATGCGCAAAGTAACAAAATTTGATACTAACGAGACCTACTCCTCGCGGAGGGGGTTTGGGTTTTCTAACACTTTCTATTTAGAAATTTTCCTCTTAAATTTTTTTTTGTAGAATTAACCCTTTGTACGGCCTTTATAAATTCTTTTCATTTCTTTTTCACTTTTTTTTAAAATTTGAAAAACCCTTTTTGAAAACGGAAAATTTTAAAACAATTTTTAAAAAAAAAGCAAAATTGAAGACACTATTGGTTCTTAAGAAATGTAAATAACATGAAGGAAGCAATTTTAAGACAGGGTTAGGATCACAGGCGCTTAATCTGTAAAAACCCCAAGAGAGTCAAGCTGATGACTGATGGAGCTGATTATAGGTTTTTCCTGGGTTACAAACCCTTGGGTTTTTAATTTAAACCCAGAAATCTTTTGCCTTTTTTTTTTTTTTATTTTTATTTAGATTTTTTTTTTTTAAATCAAAGGGGAAGCGCAAACCGGCGGTTTTACGCGCCCGGGGGGGGGGATGTGGAAAGGGATTCAGGTTTTTTTTGGGAACGGGCACGATCCTTCCCCAAATCAAAAGGCCCCCCACCAAAATCAAAGGGAAACCCTTCCCTTTGGGGGGGATTTTTTTAGAACAATACGAGATAGATAAAGAAATAACAGGTCTTACACGAAAAAAATCATTAACCCAAAACATGAACTGGATAAAAACAAAAAAACCTTCCTCACCCATAAATGAAAAACCCCCCACCTTGATAACCCTTGAACAATGCCAGCATATGGCCATGTTGCAGTAGACTGTGGAATACTACTTTTTGGTGTGGTAGTGTGTGGGAACATTCCACTGAGAATCACGTAGGCCCCGACAGCCAAAATTTAAAGTATTAACTGTAAAAAAAGTTGGGTTACAGTTTCCCCCAAGGATGCTAGAACCCAAAAAAACCTTGAGGTAACCTGAAACAGTCCTTTAATGGTAACTGAGGATGGGGCCCCTCAGTTACCACAGCCCGATTGAGACTGAACTCTGAAAGTGTGCAAAAACCCCACCTCACTGCAAACAAAATTTTGGTGATACCGAATGCCATCCCCAAAACCCGCTGTGGGGAGTACCATCCTGTAGCACAATGGAAAAAACTGGGCTGCCACTACAGATACCTATGGTACACCTGAATTGGGGATGAGTTTTTTTTTTCTCCCAATAACCAACTACAACAGTCAGCGGCACCCAAAAGGGAACCCCCTGGAAATTTGGGGTGAGTCAGATGCACAGGACCCACTGCAAGAATGATGAAACAGAGAAAATAAAGTAAACCTTTGGACCTGTTAAGGTGTAGGGTTAAGAAAGCACTAACCAGAACTCCGGGCTTTTTCTTCAAGGGGGTTTAAAACCTAATTTAGTCCAACCAAAATTTTAGTCTTGTTTGGGTTGTTAAAAAGGGGGGCCCAAAAAAAATTGCCTGTTTGAGTTATCCTAGGTAAAAAAAAATTTTTTTTGAATTAAAAGTTCACATTTTTTTGCGATGGTTCCCGGTATCATGAAATTTATAGGGGGTTTTTCCCCAAAAAATTTTTTTTTCTCATCCCCCAGCGAACCGGTTGAAAACGGGTTTTCCATGAGCCTGGCCCGGGGGCAAGTGCAGGGGCAGTAAAATTTATCGCCTTTTTCGAAGTAAATTTGGCGTCAGGATAACTTTGGGGATAGGCTTGTGTTAACAAATTTTGGGGCCTCTCAAAAAAATTTCCATTTTGATTTCGCTCCAGTCTGGTTAGGGGTTGCAAAAAAATGAGTCATATTGGGACTTGGTACTCGCTCATTTCCTTGGTCACTGTGTGGGAAACCCATCTTTTTTTTAAAAGTGGGGGCCCCAATACTGGACGTTTTTTCCGTTTTTTGTTTTGGCATAGGAGAAAAAATTTACTTTGGGTTTCTTTCGATTTCATTTATGGCTTTTATTTCCCTTCCCGCGTTTCCTGACTTGGGGAAAGCGGCCATTTTTTTTGGGTGTAAGGGGACTATACACTTTATAAGTACTCATTTTCCCTTTCAAGGTAGTATTTGTTTTGATTGATAAGGTTTTTTCAAGGGGGGGGGTTCCCCTACATCACTGTGCAGGGGGGTTAGGGCAGCAAAATTGATGGAATTTGTTGGACAGTTCTTGCCCCTGTTTTTTTTAGTTTTTATGTGAGAAAAATTACGCAAAAAAAATTGTATTTTTTAGCAAGATGGGACTACACGAATGTTAAATTGGACTTGTACTATGAAATTTACCCCTCTAACGCCTTATATTTTTAAGGTGATTGAAAAACGTGATCCTTTTCAAATTTTTTATTATTTGTTAGTAAAAAGGGTAAGTAATTTAAGTTTTATTCGGGTTACACAAATACATTTCATAGAATTATCATACAAAGCAGCATATGTGTAGAGAACCTAGGATAACCCAAAAAAGTCAGACAGAGTGACTTATTGCTATGACATAGAAAGCTTAATCTTTTAAATTTTTTTTTCCCTATGTCCCTAGCAGTCTTAAGTCATATTTTTTATTTTATCTATTACATAGCATTTCTTAAGTCATATGATGTGAGTTGTTTTTAGGTGCATTTTTTGTCAAAAATTTTTTGTTTTGTTTTTTTTCTTTTTAGGAAAAGTTAGTTTAATTTGTTTATTAGGGACCCCATACCCATCCTGTGGGGGGGTAGTCAAAAAAATTTCAAGGTACATAAAGGTCCAGGGAAATGGGGCCCCAAAATTTTGATAGCTGACAAGTTGAGGTAATGAATTCACAATTTCAAAGGAAATTTCCCTCAAAATTTTTAAAAAGGGTTTAATGAAACTCCAGGTAGGCCCTAGTCACAATCAACAATTAAAAAAGGTATTTACAGATTAAAAGGGTAAAACCGGGGGTCCAGGGACCGGGGCTCCTTTTTTTTAGCTGGTTAGGGAAGTATGTGGTTTTTTTTTGCGTGTAGCCGCTCCCTGGCTGGGGTTTTTACTTAAAACCTTTGTTTTCGGGGAAATTTTTTTCAAAAATTAAGTTTTTTTTTAAATATACTTTTTTTGAATGAATGGGGTTTTAAAGCAAAATTGCACATAAGTTGCCTCTGGGGTTGACTTTCATTTTTTTGAAACCCTTCTTAAAAAAACAAAACTTTTGGGGGTTTTTTACTTTCACCGGTTGAGGTTTTCATTGTTTAAGAAAAGGGAAAAGTATCCCTTTTTAATTTGTTTTTAATATTTTGTGCCCCAAGAGGTTATGCCACTCTTGATAGGGGTAATTCCTATGTACCCTTTTAACTTTAAGTTAAATGAAATTCGGTTTGGTTTGGGGGGTTTATTTTTTGGCGGGAGGGGGGGGAGGGTGAAATTTTTAAAAAGTTTCAGCCTTCACGGGTAAATAACCGGGGAAAACTTGGTGTATAGGGGTGGTGTATTAGTGTCAAACACTTTTGTCTGTTGAAATCTTTTTTGTAAGGGTAAATTTGGGGAATTTTTGTGTTTTTAACCCAAATTTTACCTGGGGGTTTACCTGGAGAGGTTCCGGGGGTCAACCCCCCCGGGCCCCCCGGCGGGTGCCCGGGCCCCCCCCCTGGGGATCAGGGGCCTGATCAACCAGGCTGTTCCCTGTTTGGCTGCACGAAAACCAACGTACGAGCCAAAAGCCCGGCTGACCCGGGGAACTGACTAGGTGCTTGTCCGGTGCCATCTTGAAACTAAAGACGGGCCTTTTTAAAATAAATTTTCCCCCCGTATTGCAATTTTAAAATTAAAATATAAAAAAAAATTTAGGGGGTCCCACATGGACAAAAAGATTTACAACTAAATACTTTCCCAGATCGGGTTGGGGTAAAAAGACATTCAAAAACTGCCCCCTTTTTTTAACGTTTTAAATTTTTTAAAAATTTTTAAAAAGGGCCCTTTAAAAACGGGCTAAAAAAAATTCCCTTTAAGCCGCCAAAATTTTTCACTTTAAAAAAAAGGCGGGTATTGGGAAAAGTTTTCAAAAAGCAATAATCGAAACCTCGGAAAAAACCTCATTGGTTACAAATAATGCCCCTGCCCCCAAAAGTAACGAATTTGACTACTAACGACCCACCTCCCCCCCCTCGCGCTGGGGGGGTTGGTTAACACTATCAAATTCTAGTAATTTCCCCCTTAAAAATTTTTTTTTTGTATGAATTAATCTTGTTTCGGCTTTTTAAATTTTTTATCAATTTCCCCTTTTTTCACTATTTTTAAAATTTGCAAAGCAAATTTTGGGTTAAAGGACAATAAAACCCCTTATTAGAAAAATAGAAAAATTTTAAAACACTAAAATTTTGGGTTTTTTGGGAAAAGTAAATAAAATGAAGGAAGCAAATTTTTTGGGGCATTTGGTTTTTAATCCCAAAGGGGCTTAATTTTGTAATAACCCAAGAGAGTCAAGCTGCCCTGACTTGATGAAAAGTCTGAATTAGAAATTTTTCCTTGGGGTTTCCCAAAACCCCCTGGGTTTTAAAATCCCCCGGGAAAACTCTTTTCCTTTTTTTTTTTTTTTATATTTTATTTAGAACAAAAAAGGAAGTAAAACCCAAAAAACAGGTCAAAAAGTAAATAAACCAAAACAAAATGAAATTGGAAAACAATTCCCTTAATAAATAAAAACCCCTACACCAAGATAACCATTGGAAATGTGTTCTTTTAAATATCACCCCTACAGCCCCCAAGAAGCTCTTTGCTTAATCCCTTTCCCTTTAAAATCTTTTGTTGGGCAATGCTCAAGAAGAAATTTTTCCCCCCAAGCTTAGTAAAATTTTTCCAAGTTTTATCATGAGGATCTAAACAGGGTCTTTGGCGGGCTGCTCTGCTCTTGTTGCCCCTCCTATTAAGAACGATAAAAAATTTTTTGATTGGTAAGAATTAAAACGGGGTCTACACTGCAAAAAGAATTGTTTGCAATCCTAATGGCGCTAAAGCAACCATGACATGAGCTTGACTCTATCACATTATGATTCTATGTCATCTTTGAAGGTTTTGGCTCTTTA